TGTACCCCCAAAAGACCTGCTTCCTCCTGAAACTGGAGATGTTATTTTCTAATCCCGAACTAAAGATTATTATAATACCTTATAGGTCTCTGAGACTAAATATTTTTAAGACCTAATGCACTGACTAAAATTCATAGTAAAATAGTAGTGTATAGTTGATTTTCATGTCTCTTCTTGAGAGCAGGCACTCTGGGGTGGGAACATGGAGTGGTTAAGAGTGCTAAGGCTCACCATTTCGAGAAGTATCCTTTGGAAGGTGGTGAACTGTTAGGAAATAGGAGGCTGCAGGAGGCTGGAGACTTGCCTTATGAACCTTTTACATAAGGCTGGCTCATTAGTGATGCGTCACTTCCGTTTAAACAGAAAGGTCTGTGCTGACCAGCCAGAGTCCTTACAGGGTGGAGCAGTTTGCTCAAGGATATCTTACTGTGCAGCTGAGGAGCCCATTTGTTTCAGCTACATTGGTCAAAGTACCTGGACATGGGTAGGACAAAGCCCATTTCCCTGCCTGGAGGCACTTACAAAACTCCAAAGCATTCAGTGCATTTAGAGGATTCAAGCAATTCTAAACCAGTGGGCTCCCAGGTGCGGTATGTGCAACCCAGTGGGCCTACAAGATGATTCATTGGAGTATATGAAAAAAATACTAGAACTAGTTCTGTCTGTTTTTTAAATAAACTGTTCATTTTAAAACAATTTTAGATTTTCAGAAAAATTGTGACACTAGCACAGAGTTCCCAAGTACCTTGTACCCACTTTTCTCAATTATTAACACAGTACATTACTCTGGTTCATTTGTTCCAATTAATTAACCAAAATTGATACATTATTATTACCTGAAGTAAGTCCATACTTTATTCAGATTTCCTTACTTTTTACTTAATATCCGTGTTCTGTTCCAATTCTCCACCTAGGATATGACATTACACTTACTACTAATATCTTCTTAGCCTCCCCTTGGCTGTGACAGTTTCTCAGGCTTCCCTTGTTTTTTATGAACTTGACAGTTTTGAGAACTGGTCCTGATGAAGCATTTTGTATAATATCCCTCAAATGGCACTTTTCTGCTAGTGTTCTCCTGATTAGACTGGGCTTATGGGTTTTGGAGAGGAAGACCACAGAGGTAAAGTGCCATTTTTATCACATTGTATATCAAGAGTAGACTATCAAATGTCTTACCATTGTTGATCTTGATAACCTGGCTGAAGTAGTATTGACCTTGATAAACTGGGTAAAATAGGGTTTGTCAGTTTTCTCTACTATAAAGTTACTTTTTTCCCCTTGTCCATGCTGTACACTCTGAAAGCAAGTCACTCAACACAAGCCCACTCTTAAAAAGTGGGGAATTATGTTCTAACTCCAAGAGGGCAGAGTATCTACATAAAGTATAAGGAATTCTGCATGGGAGTTTTGTCTATTTTTCTCCATTTATTCACTTATACAGTCACTTATTTCTGTCAGTGTAGACTCATGGATATTCATTTTGTATTATGTATTATAATCCAATTCTACTTCATTTTGTTGTTCAAATTGTTCCAGCTTTAGCCATTAGGAGTTCTTTCAGTTGGTTCCTATGTTCCTTTGATATGCCCTTATTGTTGTGGGGTTTTTTGCTTTGAGCACTGTCTTACTTTCTGCAAAATGCTCCAGGCTCATCTTGTGTATTTTCTGCCCCAGTCCTAGGATCAGCCACTTCCCCACTGAGCCCTATTACCTTTTATTGGAAAATAGAATTAGAAACCAAGATCGGGGTGCTAGGTGTGCTCATTGCTCCAGGGGTGTCATTGTCATTTTCCCTCTCAGTTGATAGACAAAGGAAATACATGTGTGTACTAACCCATTATATGTACATTTCTATATGTAACTCTCTGTATCTATAATAAGTGGAACATGAGTTCATACTGATTTATGCCGAACTATTTCTCTTTGTGTATGTGTGTGTGCTATTGTAAATGGATTTTTCAAAATATCAAATTCCAGTTGTTCATTACTTATAGGAAAACAACTGACTTTTATGCAGTAACCTTCTATCCTGTGACTGTGCTATACTTGCTTATCAGCTCCAGGAAGATTTTTTTTTCTTTTTGTCATTTTTTTCAGGTTTTCTACATAAACAATGTCATCTGTGAAGAACAGTTTATTTCTTCCTTTACAACCTTTATAACTTTTATTTCTTTTCTTATTTTATTGCATTAGTTAGGATTTCCAGTAGCATGTTGAATAAACATGTAAAATGAGACATTTTGACTTGTTCCTGATCTTAGAGGGAAAGCATCTAATTTCTCACCATTAAATATGAAGATAGCCACAGTTGTTTTAAAAAGTTCATTACCAAGTTGAGGTCATTCCCCATTATGCCTCAGAGTTTTTATCATAAATGGGTGTTGAATGTTGTCAAATACTTTTTATGCATCAATTGATGTGATCATATGATTTTTCTTCTTAACTTGGTGTTTTACACTGATTGATTTTCAAATGTTGCAGTAGCCTGTATACCTGGAATAAATCCCACTTGATTGTGGTATATAATTCCATTTATACATTGCTGTATTTGAGTTCTTAATATGTTGCTGAGGATTTTGTTTCTATGTTCATAAAAGATAATGACCTTTAGTTTTCTTTTCTTGCAATGTCTTTATCTGGTTTGTGTATTAGAGTAATGCTGGCCTCAGAGAATAAGTTAAAAATTATTCCCTCTACTTCTATTTTCTGGAAGCTATTGTAGAGAACTGTTATCATTTCTTCCTTGAATGTATGATAGAATTCACCAGTAAAATCATTTGGATCTGTTGCTTTCTTTTTTGGAGGATTATTCATTATTAATTAAATTTCTTTAATAGGTATAGCCATATTCAGATAATCTATTTCTCCTTGTGTGGGTTTTAGTAGGTTGTATTTAAAAAAATGAATCCATTTTATCTGTTACCAAAATTGTGGGCCTAGAGCTATATGTAGTATTCTTTTATTATCCTTTTAACATCCACAGGATCCATAGTGATGACCTCTCATTTTTGATATTGGTAGTTTGTGTTTTCTCTTTTTTTCTTGATTAGCGTGGCTAGAGTTTTATTAATTTCATTGACCTTTTCAAAGAACTGGTTTTTTATTTTATTGTTTTTATTATTTTGCTGTTTTCAATTTCATTGATTCTGCTCTAATTTTTTATCATTTCTTTCTTCTGATTGTTTTTGGGCTGAAATTTTTCTTCTTTTTCTAGTGTCCTAAGGTAAAATATTGGTATTGATATTAGATATTTTTTCTTTTATAATATATGCATTTAAGGCTATAAATTTCTAAGCACTGCATCCATGAATTTTGATATTTTCAATTTCATTTAGTTAAAAATATTTTTAAAATTCTCTTGAAATTTCTTCGACCCATGTGTTATTTAGAAGTGTGTTGTCTGATTTCCAAATAATTTGGGATTTTCCAGTTATCTTATTGTTACTAATTTCTAGTTTCATTTCATTGGTGTCTGAGAACATACTTTGAATGATTTCTATTCTTTTAAATTCGCTGAGGTGTGTTTTATGGCCCAGAATATGGTCAGTTTTAGTGATTCCTCCATGTGACCTTGAGAAGAATGTGTATTCTCCTTTTGCTAGATGGAGTTTTCTATAAATGTCAGTTAGATCAAGTTGGCTTATAGTGCTGCTCAGGTCTCCTACAGGCATACCTCGTTCTTTGTGTTTCACTTTTTGGATTTATTTGCAGATATTGCATTGAAGGTTAGTGGCAACCCTGCTTTGAGCAAGTCTGTTCACACCATTTTTCCAACAGTGTTAGCTCATTTCATGTTTCTAAACATTTTGGTAATTCTCATAGTATTTCAAATTCTTTCATTATTATTAAATTCTTATGATATTCTGTGATCAATGATTATGACTCACTGAAAGCTCAGATGATGGTTAACATCTTTTAGAAATAAACTATTTTTAAGTTAAGGTATGTACCTTGTATCTTTAGACATAATGTTATTGAATGCTTAACAGACTACAGTATAGTGTAAATATAACTTTTATCTGCACTGGGAAATCAAAAAATCATTTAACTTGCTTTATTGCGGTATTCACTTTATTGCAGTGGTCTGGAACTGAACCCTCAATATCTCCAAGATATGCTGGTATATCCTAACTGATTTTCTGCCTGTTTGATCTTTAATTACTAAAAGAAGAGTATTAAAGTCTCCAACTATAATATTAGACTCATCTATTTCTCCTTTCATATATATCAGATTTTGCCTCATGTCTTTTGACACTGTTGTTAGGTACATCCACATTTAGGATTATTATGTTCTCTCGGATAAATGATTCCTTTATCATTATGTATCTCTTTATCTCTGAAAAATGTCCTCATTATGAAGCCTGCTTTGTCTGAAGTTAATACAACTATTTCAGCATTCTTTTGATTCACGTTAGAATGGTATACCCTTCTCTAGCTGAGTCTTTTATATTTTAAGTAAGTTTCTTGTAGACAACATATAGCTGGGTCTTTTCTTATCCTCTCTCACAATCTTTTAATTGATGTATTGAGACCTTTCACATTTGAGTGATTATGATATACGTGGATTAACAGCTCCCATGTCTGTAACTGGTTTCTATTGTCACAATTGTTCTTTGTTTCTCCCCTCTCCCCTTTCCTCCTTCTCTGGTTTTAATTTAGTATTCTATATGGCTCTATTTTACCTCCTCTCAAGTATGGCGATTATATCCTTTCAAAAAAAGTTAATGGCTATGCTGTTTCCAATATACATTTAAAACTAATCTAATTTCACCTCCAAGTAACACTGTGTCATTATATATGTAGCCTGGGACCTTATAATATAAAACTCTTTATTTCCCTCTTCCTTCCCTTATGACTGTCATTCATTTCATTTAGCCACATAATTACTTAATATACTGTTATCACTTTTAAAAAGTTACCTATAGATTAAGAATAAACAAAACAAAAGTTCATTTTGTCTTCATTTATTCCTTCTCTGATGCTCTTCTTTTCTTTATCTAGGTCCAAGTTTCTGACCTATATCATTTTCTCTCTCTCTAAAGAACTTCTTTTCTCCTTCAGTTTTGAAAGACAATTTCTTTGCCTATAGAATTCTAGGTTGGTGGGTTTCTCTTTCATCAGTTTCAATATTTCAGTACAATCTTTCTTGCTTGCATGGTTTCTGAAGAGAAGTCTGCTGCAGTTCTTCTCTTTGTTCCTCTGTAGGAAAGGTATTTCTTCCACTCGTGACTTCTTTCAAGATATTTTTCTGTGTCTTTGCTTATCTGCAGTTTGAATGTGATATGCCTAAGTGTAGTTTTGTTTTGTTGGTTCATTATTTTTTCTCTTTGCATTTCACTTTGGGAAGTTCCTCTTGTCTCATCTTCAGTATCACAGACTTTTATCCTTGATGTCCAGTCTACTGATGAGCCCATCACATACATGTTGCAGTATCTTTTATTTCTATCATTTCCTTTGCTTCTTTCTTAGAGTCTCCATCTCTGCTTATATTACCCATCTTTTCTTCCATGCTATCTTCCTTTTCCATTAGACCCTGTAACATACTAACAATAGTTATTTTAAATTATCTGCTGTATAATCCCAACACCTGTGTCATATCTGAATCTAGTTCTGCTGCTAGCTTTATCTCTTTGAACTGTTTTTGCTTGCTTTTGGCATCTCTTGTAATTTTTTGATGAAAGCCAGACATGTTGTTTTGGATAATAAGTGAGATAAATAGCCTTTGGCATGAAGATTATATTAGGCTGGCTGGAGGTTGTGCGAGGAGTTCAACACTTTCGATAGCTGCAGGTGCCAATGGCTTCAGATTCCTCCAGAGTGTTGGTTGTGTCTCCCCTCCTGGCTGGCCTGTCCTGAGCTCCTCGTTGGGGTTTGCACCTGGCCACTCTTTCAGCTGTCACCGCTGTCACACTGGAGCCCGGCTGATGTGCTAGTAAAGTGGGGAAGGAGAAGCGTGCTATGATCCAGTCATTAAATCTCTGTCTTTTAATCAGTCTGTGTCTCTGGGCTGTGACCTTCAGAGATGTTTCTCCATTAGTACAGCATTTTTCCCCTGAGGAAAAAAAAAAGTGAGAAAGGAAGGCTGGAGGGGGCTGGAGTGGAAGTAATGCCTTTCTCCCAACTCAAGTAAGACTTTGGAAACATTTTCCCCTGGAGAGGGGAATCTGTCTTGGATCTTCACCTTTAGAACCTGGAAGGATATGGGGAGGTAAAAACCATGAACATGTGTGTGGGAGGAGGGAGGGCCTCCAGAAGTTTCTCACTGTCATGTGAATCCACACTCAGCCTCAGAAATTACCATTTAAGTGTTCTCACCAGTTTATGGCTCCAGGAGCTTCTGCTCTCGGTAAGCACCTACCAGCTGTAATTCTCTGGTTTCACTTGTGTCCATATTTCAGGATTTATTCAAGCTTTTTCTTATGGTAAGAATAGGAGTGATGACTTCCAAGCTCTTTACATGTTGAAGCTGAAACCAGAAGTCCCCTGCATTTATCTATTTTAGCCCATCCTTTTAAATAAATGTTTTTGTTTATTTTATAATGCACATTACATGTGAGGACAATACACATATATATAATATTAAAATAATAAGAATACTTACACAGCAGACTCATAGGCACTAAGAAGGGACTAGCAGTTACCAAAGGGGAGGGGCTTGGGAGGGGTTTGGGAGGGTGGGTGGGGAGGGAGAAGGGAATTAAGGGGCACAATAATTTGTAATCACAATATAGATAGGTCACAGGGACTGTAGTACAGCACAAAAAATACAATTAAGGACTCTGTAACATTTTACTATGTGATAGATGGTGACGGCACTAGAGGGGGTGAGGACTTGATAATATGGGTGAAAGTTGAACCACTGTGTTGTGAATTTGAAACCATCATAAGATTGTATATCAGTGATATTTTAATAAATAAATAAATATTAGAAATAAGAAATTAAAAAAAGAATACTTACATAGAGTTGCCTGCTCAAAATATTTTGCTGATAGAGGGTATACAATTAAAGAAAAAAGTCTGGGGACACTATGCAAACCACAGTACTCAAGAACTGAGGAAACAGCCATCTGTTGCTCATTGCAAGGAATCCGTCATTGACAGATCCAGACTCCAGGCCAAATTATAGCCAAAGGAATAGCTAGAAATCAGGTTCCCAAGCTAAAATGACAAAGTGGGGAGCATTTATCCTTTGTTCATAACCACCAACATAAACAGGTCTCAGAAGCTCTAGGGGATATTTACACAATGTTTCCAAGAAGGAGAGAGGTACAAGTAGGTGGTGGGAAGTGGGTATTTAGGCAAGTCATAGCTTTTTCTTTGAATCAACCTCAAGGAGCTCAGTAACTGACCCTCACCAAACAGACATCTCTTACTAGGACAAACAATTGAGAGTCTAGGTTGTGGGTTTCCTGGAGGGCAAGCAGGAATGATTTCCCATTTTTTATTCCCCTAGCCTCAATTAATGCTTTTAACTTAGGAAAATTAGCTGAGGTAATATTTAAGGTAAATGTGGTATATTGGAGAATCTCTACTACTGCAAAAAATAAAACTCCATCCAAAAACCTGGACGTCCAAACCAATGGAGTAGAGAACAGGGTAGCTGCTGCCTTTCCAAGCAGTCGGGCTGGAATCGGTGGGAGGTGGGAGGCTGAGGTCTGCTTCAGAGCTTACGGACCCAAGAAGAGGAAGTCATACCTGTGCCACCTAAAAAAAATGTAGCTAAAATTCTAGTATTTGAGTCACTCTATAATATATTCCCTATAACAGGGGCAGAACATAATAGTACTCAAGTGTCTCAGCTGGCCCTAGGAGAGACCCAACTCAGACTAGCTTAAACCCAAAAAGTTCATATAACTTGAATGTTCAAAGGTGTTGATGGGTTAAGATACACTGAATCCAGCCTCAAACCACCTCAATTATACCTCCTTAAGACACCCTAATATTATGCATGATCTATTATCTATGTATTTATCTATCTACTTATCTATCTATCTATTATCTATCTATCTATATCCATCTATCATCTATCTATCTATCTATCTATCTATCTATCTATCTATCTATCTATCTATCTATCTATTATCTATCTATATCCATCTATCATCTATCTATCTATCTATCTATCTATCTATTATCTATCTATTATCTATCTATATCCATCTATCATCTATCTATCTATCTATCTATCTATCTATCTATCTATCTATCATCTATCTACCTATATCCATCTATCATCTATCCATCTATCATCTATCTATCTATCTATCTATCTATCTATCTATCTATCTATCTATCTATCTATCATCTATCTATCTATCTATCTATCTATCTATCTATCTATCTATCTATCTATCTATCTATCTATCTATGTATCTGATAGACTGATCTTATGTGCTTCCATTCCTCTTCCTAGCAGCAGGACCTGAGCCTCAGTTTCCTCTTTAGCCAAATAAAGCTGTCATTTACCTCATGGTATTGCTATGCTATGTAAGATTAATGCACATGAAGGATCTAGCCCCATGTCTGGCACATAGTAAATTATCANTCACTCTCACTCTAATGGCCTCTGCTTAAGTCTAAAGTGGGGTGAAGGCAGAAACCCACCAGAGAGACACGGACTGACAGTGGGTTGGTCCCCAGGATAGGGTAAAATTGAGGTATAATCCCAGGAGAAGCTGGGCTATATTCTAAGAAGGCAAAACACTGAAGAGACAAATAACATGCCTACGATGCCTTAAGTGGCTTCTCTGTTTTTTCAGAGGGAGAAGTTTTGTTTGGAAAAATGAGTCTCACATTTTCTTAGTGAGAAATGGACTTCAATGTCCATAATCTGGTCTTGATATTATCTCTCCTAGCAGATTGCTATTGCCTCTAGTTTGTTTGTTTGTTTAGTGTACATATAGGAAATTTTTTTAAGAGACAAAAATAAATCAGGAGTTATATTTATATATCCAATTCAACTTTAACATTGCAGGGTTGTTATTTAAGCTATTTGATTTTGTGATTTCACATATCTTCTTTTACACCAAAAATAAAAATAAAAATAAATTTGGTTCCCAGTGACATTAACATAAATTATTTACTTTATCCTATGTGTCAAAGTTTTCAAGTGATAACAACATTATTATTATTTCTTGTGGTTCATATTTCTTTATGGTTGGGGTTTTGACCTTAGGATACATCCAAAAAGGGACAAATAGTCAAAATGTTGTATTTCAAGTCTTTTTTATGTATGTGGTCATGCACCAACTTGATAGGTTCCTTTGCCTCAATTAACTTTCAGCTTTTACAGATTGCTTGTTTAAATGATCTTTCCTTTAATTTTGACCTTTAAGTCTGTAAGAATTTACATGGTTCCTAGGTCAAAACTACTTTCAAACAGTTACATTCAGAGTTTTACTTCCTTCCCTATTTCTACCACCTTATTGCCCCCCTCTCCAGATACTAAACTTAAAAAAAATTACTGTCTTGGTTCCATTGTATTAGGAGCTTTTCAGACAGTATATGGTGTAGTCTAAGCAGGACTTCCCATCTAGCAGGAGGGATGGATCCCTGAGCACAGCGAGCTTCAGCTCACTTGGTTGTATCGGGCTGTGGTAGAGGGAAGCAAGGGAGGAGAGAGAGAGAGAGAGAGAGAGAGGGCTGTACCACAAGGATAGCAAGCCTTCTTGAAGCTGTGAAGAATGGTGTTAAAACCAAAGCACAAAATCTACAATCATTTCAGAATTTTAAAAGATAAAAAACAGTGTAAAACACATCGAAACAAAAACAAGCGCACCCTCTGGTGGCCTCTGGTGGGCTGCACGTAATTGGTATTACCTGAATTTGAAAGCTGCGGGGGATGCCAAATTGGGTGAGCTTGAGTGAAGAAAGGCACCCTCCGGCCAATGGGGAGGCCTGCACAGCCCACACCAAGTTTCCTCTCTGCTCTCCCCAGTTCCAGATACTGTGGACCCTGGGACATATGTTGACTCTCAGTATCTGTATTACCACATCTTGGGTAGAAAGAGCCTTATTTTCTCTCCAGCATCCATTTTCCTAACGTAGGAAAAGAAAAAAAAGCAAGAGTCATACTTTCCTGTTATCTCTTTGCCAAAGCTGTGGGGGTAGTGGCATTATCTGAACTCTCAAGGTGCATCCTTTCTCAGTATGTCACAGAGAAGGAGCAGCATGGAACAAAAAGAAAAGGAGGCATTCTTTCACTTACTAGCTGTGTGTCCTCAGGCAAGTTTCTTAACCTCTCTGAGCCTTGGTTTCTTTATCTGAAACATAAGAATGATAACATCCAGTTCAGTCTGTTTCTGGAGGTTTAAATGAGTGGTGTGTATAAAACTCCTAATACATGATACCAGTACTACATAATGGGCCTCAATAAGTAATAGCTACCTACTATTATTATTTCCTTTTTGTTTACAGGAAATTTGTGAGAATCCCCGGTTCATCATTGATGGAGCCAATAGAACTGACATCTGTCAAGGAGAGCTAGGTAGGAAAGTCCCTTGGGTCATAGCCAGCCAAACAATCAAAGGTGTTGAAGATGTGTGATCCCTTTACAGGAAGTAAAGGGACAATAATCTGGTTCTGCTTTGAGTGGATTTTGGGAAGGAGTGATTTTACAACACCGCTTTATGTTCATTTATCTATGTGCTGGTGGTTGCTTCATTTGATTTCTGTTCCTCCCACATTTCTCATTAGTTCTTTGCCCAGACTCTCAAGGACCTTACACACCCCACTCAGCAAGACCAAAGCCCAGCTTTTACCTATGGCCATCTTCGCTCCTTACTGCACATGCCCTGGCCATGTAGAATTGATGCAGAGTGTGCCTGTAACTCAAACTCTTGTTTCAGTTGCCCCAGAACAGCTCCATAGTAAGGGAATCTTTCCACAAAGGTGGCGTTCACCGTGTGGGTGAGCACCGGGTACTCTGTCTGGCCAGCCAGTGGGGCTGTCCTGCTGGGCCTCCTCCCTCTCATCCTCCTGGGCAGGAAGCCTTAACTTTGGGGCGGACAGGGAGAAAGCTCTGTGAAGTCAAGCCAGAAGTGACATCAACAGGAGCAATTTAAAACTTGGGGGGAGCCACCCAAGAGCAATGAAAGGAATTTGGCTGATTTGGCCCCAGAAGGAGAGGCTGAGAGGTTTGGTTATCTGGGTTCTGTACCCAAGGTAAGACAGTTAGTGAAGTCCTGGGCTAGCTAATAATCCGGACCTTCTAACCAATACACTGTTTCAGAGGAGAGGCTGGCTGCTGCAGGGGTGGGTAAGGAAGAAGGGGGCTGCTGGCAGCTCTGTCTCCCCTCCGGAGTTTCAAGGATGCTCTCACATCCGCACAGCAGAACAAAGGCCTTGCATAGCTTACACCAGCCTCCTGAGCAGGCAGGTCCATGACTGTCAGTGTACCAGCCGCATTCCGATGCCAGCAGTGTCTTAGTGCCCCCTACCGTCTGGTTCCAGGGCGGCTGCCTAATTAATCCACTGCTCCCAATGCAAATCTGCTTCGCTGGTGGCTCTCAGTTGCTCAGTCTCCACCGAGGTCAGAACGGTAAATGGACTGACATCGCATTTGACCTAGTTGTGACCTATTGCTCTGTCCACATTGAGGTCCAAAAAGGAAGGGAGCTTATATTGCAGAACGAGGAACTGCCTACAGCCTTCAAGAAAAGCAGTCACGAGAGACTAGGTTACCCTCTTGATCGCATCATCAGCAGATGCTGTCAAACCCCCCCGGGTTGACGCCCCCAGAAGGTCAGATCTGGACGTGCGACCGTGAGCACCGAGGGAGCACCCTTCTTCATAGAAGTGGAGCAGATGGCTGGGACTGGACTCCTTCCTTCCCTGGAGGTCCAGGCCTCTCCCATGACCTGTGTCACATGCTTGCCTGCAGGGGACTGCTGGTTTCTCGCAGCTATTGCTTGCCTGACCCTGAACGAGCGCCTGCTTTTCCGCGTCATACCCTACGATCAGAGTTTCACTGAAAACTATGCGGGGATCTTCCACTTCCAGGTGAGGTCACAGGAGCGCAGTTAAGAGGGCGGCTGCCTCTACCCAGCCCTAGTCTCCTGGCCTTGACTTCCCAAGGCTTCAGGAAAGGTTCCACCCACCCTCCCTGCCATGGCTGTGGACAGTGACTCCCTTAAGGCCTCAAGCCTGTGAGAGAGCACTTGTTTATCTCTGCTGTCCCAACTCCCCAAACCCCCGCCTTCCGCTATGCCCCAGAAAGGCAGGAAGACATCCTGTTTGCGGGCCTGTGGGTCTATTTTTGCCTGTCCGGCTGGCTGCTTGTCATTACTGGTAGCCCTTTTCACATAGGTCCCTAGGAAATTAGCACTGGGAATGTGTAGGGCCCTTTAGGTTGTCAGGGAAACCCTGCCCCGACTGCGGCTCCTTTACCTGCTTCCCTTTAAAGCAGTTCTGTACCAAGTCTTACTCATCTCTTGTAGGCCCTGAAAGAGGTGTCTGGTTAACCTGGGGACCAAGCTTCTGGTTTGGCACAGAAATGAGCCTTTTTGTTCCAGAATCAATTTATGGAAATTTTATGGATCAAAATTGTCCTGGCAGAGAGCCCAGTCCCAGTGCTGGTCCAGAACAAAACTGAGTTATCACATGTGGGGATCCCTCAGATACTAGGGTTCTGAGTTACCGGTCTGTCTGCAGCCCTGCAGGCTCCTGAGACTAATGCCCTGAGACTGACCCAAATCATCCATTGATATACCTGCTGATCTTGTGCCTCAGATCAGCAAAGGCCTCAGAAAAGGGCTTCTCTTCAGCTCAGGTTTAGCATCCTGCTGCCCACTGTATATGGCCAGGGCAGCCAAGCCCTGATTTTATGTCTTCCTTGTGACATCCACCTGCTAATTTCCCTTTGACATTTAAAGGGATTTACATTTAAAGAACCATAAATACAAAGACCAGACAGATTTTTGCTCTCTTTTCAATAAAGGAGAAAATGTCATTAGAAGGAATTTAAACTACATGTGGCCTTCCTCAATTAAAACTGGTATGTTCAAAAAAGAACATCCAGAATTGAAATTATTGGGCAACAGTCTTGCTACAACCAGAGTCTATTCCAAGTCATCTTTCCTCTTCCATGTCACCTTCTCCAGCAGCAATTTCTACCTTGTTTGTCATCAAAAAATACATTAATCAATACATCATCTTCACCTGGACTAGTAGTTCTCAGCCCTGGCTGCACATTAGAATCAGCTAAAATACCTAAAAATGCTGATGCCTAGGCCCCACCCCAGATCTACTGAGCAGGAGAATGAACATCTCAAGTCCTCAGATATGCAAAGAGCATCTACCATCCCCAGTACTGGGTTGGACTGTGTGGAAAAAAAATAAAGTGGTTTGTCACTAACTTCCTGCCCTCAGGACTTCACAGTCCAGTTAGAGAATGATTCACACACCCTAACCCAGAACAGTAGGAACAAGCATCAAGATGCAGAGCTCAGGAAATGGGACTGCTTTGGGATCACAGAGACCTCTGAGGAATGTGGAATGGGGACTCATTTCCAGTGGTGACTGAGGATGTGACTCTGTGCTTGACGCTCCTGTGCAGTTCTGGCGCTATGGAGACTGGGTGGACGTGGTTATTGATGACTGCCTGCCAACTTACAACAATCAACTGGTTTTCACCAAATCCAACCACCGCAATGAGTTCTGGAGTGCTCTGCTGGAGAAGGCTTATGCTAAGTAAGGCAGCACTTTAGAATATGAGGCAGGGCTACAATGGAGGGGGTGGGCTGCAAAATCCAGCTGGGGTCTCACTCACAAGAGAAGGCATGTGTCTGTGTGCGTGCGTGCGTGCGTGCGTGCGTGTGTGTGTGTGTGTGTAGGAAATCTTCAGCTTTAACTCCCATAGTGAGCCCTTTAAGTCTGTCTTCATGGTGGTATTGTAAGTCTTGGATCTGAGCATTATATTTCTGGAGCTCAGATCCCAGGGGTTTGCTTGGCTCAACCTCGTGAGCTTGCAGTATATTAATACAGCCATATTGTCTCTCAGCTTAGCATCCCCACCTCCAGCTACTAATGGCTTTAATGGAACCCTGCCATAGGGTTCAGAGTATAGTAGAAGAAAACTGTCAGGAGGTGGGAGTCCCTGGGTCCCAGGCCCAGTGTTCCAGCTCTCTGCGGCCTTCGGTGAGTCACCCAGCCTTGGGAGCTGTTTCCCCCTATGAAGAGAAGGAATCACAGTATCCAGCCCGTTACCTTACAGGGTTGTTGGTCAAATTAGATAAGAGAGCATCACAGGACTCAAGAGCAAAGTTCTGGTGGCTGTGGTGCCTGGGTCATGTTCCCCTCGATCCCTGTGACCCCAGATTGGTCTCCATCCTCTCTCCAAGGCTCCATGGCTCCTATGAAGCCCTGAAAGGTGGAAACACTACCGAGGCCATGGAAGACTTCACAGGCGGGGTGACAGAGTTTTTTGAAATCAAGGATGCCCCCAGAGACATGTATAAGATCATGAAGAAAGCCATCGAGAGAGGCTCCCTCATGGGCTGCTCCATTGATGTAAGTCTGGGTGTGGGCTGCAGGGCAGGGAGTAGCCAGCCCACTATCTGGAAGCCTTTAACCCAATAAATAGCAGCACAGGGCTTTCCTCTGGGACAGGGTGGATGTTTTATTTTAGGAAGCAGGAACTGGCTCTCAACTTTGAAAACTGGAAATTTCACAAGGGAAAAGAGTTACTGCAGATTTTTGATGAAGAGATTGGGTGAAGATATTTGAAACCCTGGGGTTTAGGTGGAAACTGGTCAAGAGGCCTGTGTCAGTACTGGCTTCTGTGGCTGGTACTGCTGTGCCCCCATTAAGCTGGCCACATACTTAGCAGACTTGAGCCCACCAGTTCCCTAAGAAAGCCTCCCATTCATCAAGGTTTGATCGAATCTCTCACTTGGACATGGGCTTGCTATTGCAATCTTTGAGAAGCTCAGCCTGCAGACCCTCTCAGTGCAACAAAGTGGGGTGAACTGAGACTGGGGTAAAGGGTAAGGAGATGGCACACTGGCCAGGCATCCTGAGTCCAGGAGACACATCTGCTCTGGGGGCTGCTCTATGTATAGTAGTCTTGATGCTTTCCATTGCTGAGGAAGGAGCCCAAGCTGAATTCCTGTCCCTTCCTCTCCCAACACTCCCAATAGGTAGGAAAGCTTGAAGATCAGCTAACATAAAACACCTGTAGATGAACATTTTCTTTCTGAACCACTTTTCTCCATCTTTCCTCCATTCATGCTCTGTTTCTCTCTCCTCTTTTCCTCTGCCTGCCCTCCCTTCTCTCTGTCTCCTCCCCTTTCCATTACCCTCCTTTGCTTCCTCTCACCCCTTCTCCTGGATGGTCCCCTGCCCTCCCCACTGGGCCTCAGGACGGCACAAACATGACCTACGGAACCTCTCCTTCTGGGCTGAGAATGGGGGAATTGATTGCACGGATGGTGAGGAATATGGATAACTCGCTGCTCAGGGACTCAGACCTTCTCCCCAGAGGCTCAGATGACAGACCGATGAGGGTGGGTACACCTCCAATCGCCAGAACTGACCACCTCTCCAACCTTCATGACCCGGCCCTGTTGGTGTCAGACTCCCCTCAGCCGCCAGTGCTTTGCACACAGACCTTCACTTGGGCCCTTCCCAGGCTCTGGGCTGGAATAACTTGGCTGCTCCAAGGCACCTGAAGAAGGCAGGAGACACAGGATTGGAAGGGAGTCGGTGGCAGTTCCTTCATACCCCAGGACCCAGGCAGTTTCTCTAATAATGCATTAACAGGCTGAAATATGAGAGACTTTATTTCAAAATATTTCTCCCTTCTAATTCATTCATTTATTCATTCAACACATATTTATTGAGCTCCTACTAGGTGCTAGGCACTCTTCTAGCAAACAAAGAAAATTCTCTCCCTTCTTGTAAACAGAGTCTCTCACCTCTAGAGTTTATAGTCTAGTACTTTCAGAAGTAACATGTACTCACTGAAGAATACTGAGCCATACAGAAAAGCACAAAGGAAAAATTAACCTATACCTTCCCCACCTAAAGGTAGTAAGTCTTAACATTTAGTATCTGTCCTAGGATTTTTCTTTGCATACACTTAATCCTATTTTTTATTTTTAAAATGTTGCCATATGTATTATTTCTTCACAGTATGCTTTTTTCAGTCAGCTTTATATTCTTAATATGCCAATATGAATTATATTCTTAATGTGTCTTCTATAACACTTTTAGTGGCTGCACAATAGGCCAACATATAGATATGTTACAATTGATTTACCCAATATCTTATTATTGGAAGATCACATTGTTTTCTTTTTCTTTTTTGGCTATTATTTTTTAATGCTATAAAGAATATCCTAATAGATACATCTTTGCATACATCTGTGATGACCTTCCAGAAGTGGGACTGCTAGGTATGCACAAGTAATGCCAAAAGAGTCATTTCAGGTGGCTTCCCAGATATACACTTGAGGGATGCATGAATTTCCTGCCCCATCTCTCTGTATTCAGGATGACAGAACTCAGCAAGACTGAGATCTGGAAGAGGCTGAGAGCCCTGAGGCTCACATCACTCAGCTTGAAAAAGGTCCAGGCATTCCACAGCCCAACATGGCTCAGGGAAGCTTCTCTTAAAGCTGGTACACCGCCAGGCAAAGTGAAGCCATGAGATCCCTTCTCAGGCTCACGGGGCTTTGGTGACCCTATCCTCTGCCAAGGATCTCCTGTGGCTGCAGCCTAGGAATCTCCACAAATGAAGAGCTATGCCTGCACCCTTAGGCACGGTCCTGTCTGAGCAGGACTCTCTCCAGCCTCCTTAGAATTCCCTCCCTGGGCACTGTGACTCTTGGTTTCTTGATTATCATGTTCTTGGTGGGTGTAGAGGAGGTGAGGGGATGTTAAAGAGAAAAGTTAGACCTATATGTTTCACCTCGCCCCTTTTTTCAACCCCTTTCTCTTCCAGGAATAGTCAACCTGGGTGGGTTCAGGGTAAGGGGTCCCTGAAACCAGGGCAGCCTCCATCTGTCCCCCTTCCTTCCTTTGAAAGACCCTAAGCAATTCAGAAAGGAGAGACAGGAATGCTCTCACCCATCTTGTGCCCCCGCCTCCATGGCGCTCCCCAGTGATCAGAACAGACCTGTTCAGGGTGATCAGCTTGGGGAAATCACTTGTCTGGGCCATGTCTCCTTGATGCTCTTAAAGGTCAATGAGAGTCTTTCAGGGTGTGAAGAAGTCATCCTCACAGCACCCAGAAAATGAGCCAACATGAACTTTGTCTTAGGCAGCAAAACTTCTGGTGCCCGACCATTGACACATTGCCTGGTTTTTGCTCCGCAGACAATTGTTCCGGTGCAGTATGAGACAAGAATGGCCTGTGGACTAGTCAAAGGCCATGCCTACTCTGTCACTGGGCTGGAGGAGGTGAGCCTGGCGGGGCTTGAGGGCACTTAGGTTAACCTCCTGAAGTCAGCAATTCACTTTCTGTGCCGCTTCAGATCTGCAGAGCTTGCCTCCAATCAGGGGATCCACTTGGGACTGGTAGAAGTAGATCTTGCCATAAGACGGTGCTCAGTTTATCTTTGTTTTTAGTGCTGAAGATGGCAATTTTCCCAACATTTCCTGGAAACAAATAGAAATCACTTTGGTTATGAAGTTGATTCCATTGGCTCTTGTGTTTCTTGTTCTCCTGTAGTCAAACAGTGACAACGTTTTGCTGCCACTGGTGCATTTGGCCTTTTCTGGGTCTCCTGTCAGAGGCCAGAAGCTTGTAGGCTTGCTACACATAGGTGGGCAGGTTGTGGCCTGGTTACAGGGATGGGCAGAGAGAGGAGCAGTTGTCTGCAGCAGCCCACGCAGCAGACTAGAGGAAGGGGCACCTTTTTCTGATTGGTCTACCTAATGATGACATTTTCTGTAGTTCTTTAGCCAGCAGGGTGTTTTTTCTAATTCATAAGAGACATTTAATGTGCTAGAGAGGACCTACAGTATATGCCCTGCCTCCTCCCCCAGTGCTTGTAGTCGCCAGATGTCCACTGGGATCACCGTTTAGAAGATGGCAAGGCGATGGCCAAGCCCTGACTTCTGCAGTTTCCATCCTAAGCTTCTAACCCTTCACCCTGCCACCCCACAGGGCATTTCTGATTAGTCTCTTTGACTAGGACCTGGCAGGACAGCCCCCTGTATGGGCTTCTCTCCCTTTCCCCATCTGAGCCCTCAGGGTAAGAGAGAAGACCCCCTTTCCAGAAAGGGTCTAGAGCAAGAGAACTGTTTCTCTTTGTTCAAGGCCCTGTTCAAGAATGAGAAAGTGAAGCTGGTGCGGTTGCGGAACCCCTGGGGCCAGGTGGAATGGAACGGCTCCTGGAGTGATGGGTAGGTGAAGAGGCCTCACAAGAAGGGGATAACAGGGCCTGGGAATGGCTGGACTGGGTACCAAGCCACAAGAACTACAAATGCTTGGTCTATACGTGTCCTCAAAAACCAATAATCTGCAGAGGAGAAGAGGGGATGTGGGTTCTGGGGAAGGGCTGGGTGAGCAGCAGGGGAGCCAGTGGTCCAGAGACTTGCTGATGGCCAATGGCTAGAAAGGAAAGGTTCTAGAAAGCATGGGATAGGCCCAGGCAGGAGGAGAGCCTTAATGCAGGGTTCTGGACTGAACAACTGACTTCCCATCTTGGAATCTCTGCTGGCTTATTCGTAAAATGGGAATAATATTAGCACTTAGTTGGTGGGCTGTTATGAGGAGTAAGTGTGATCATGTCTAGAGAATGCTCCATCAGTGGTAAGATTTCCTCCCCCTTCCTGTCCCCATGAAAAGGTGCACAAGCCCTTTGAAAGAGCTTTATTGCTTATTGCTGAGAGGAGTGGACTAGGGTACAAAAATAACAAAAATGGGGAAGTTATTATGAAGGCTCCAGGGTGTACACAGCCTTTACAGCCCCATCCCAGTCTCTGTCTCCTGACTGCCTCACTGAATGGAGGGTAGCCCCTTGAAGCTCCTCTTTCATTCCCGAGCGGAGATGGCAGGACCTAGAAGTTCTGCTCACCTCCACTCACCTCTCATCCCACGGTGCTAAAATTACTGCTTCATTCCCTTAGTGGGGACTTACTGGGCACCTGCTGAATGGCAGGCCCAGGCCCAGGCCCAGGCGGTGGGGCCACCCTGTGAGCAGGCAGCTCCCCAGAGAGCCTGGGACAGCATGCAGACTTGCCTCCTCGCTGCCTCCTGCAAACGTCCGTCTGCCTCACTTCCCTCACCAGTACCACAGACCCTTGCTTCAGTGCTGGCCATGTGGCGGGCCCCATGCTGCTGCCTGGGGGCTTAGAGACGAACACAAACACAGGCCTTGGCCCTGTAGACTTTCAGTTCCAGTGTAGAGGACAAACAAACAAACACTGATAAAAAAAAGTGAGATAATGCTATGGTAAGGGTCTCAAAGAAGGAGCCCCTCACCTAGTTTGGGTGGGACTGAAAGAGCAGAAAAAAGCTGCCTGGACAGAGTGACATTTGAACTGGGCTCTCTGCTCTGGGAAGGTCCCCAGGGCCCCCTCCTCTGCCCATTCCACTGGCTGAGTGGCCCTCGCTGTGTTCTCCAGTCTCAGAGTTTGGTGTCCAGCCTTAACCCATTTCCCACCAACGCCTCCATTGCGGGGACTGCTGACAAGTGGGGCCCATGTCGTGGCCGCTCAAGAAGGCCCCTGCCTGTACTGTGTCCCTCCTCTGGTCCCAGGAATCTCCATTTCCCCTCCAGCATTCCCTGACTTCAAGCACTTCCTCAGTCCCTTACCTTTCCAAGGACATCCAGCTTAGTTTCATTCTCCTCAGTGTATCTGGAACACAAATGTGCTTTATTTTCTCCCTCTGGAGGAGAGAGAGTGTGTAAAACCATCTGGCCTTTAGAAACACCAAGCTCCTGGTGGGGATGGGGGACAGGAGAAAGGAGAGGTTTACATGCTTAGTCTTTTTCTTGGTAATTCAGTCAGATACTTATTAGATGACGAGCACTCTTCTCAAAGTTTTGCAGGTACCAGTGACCCTTAAACAACACGGGTTTGAACAGTGTGGGTCCACTAACATGCAGATTTTTTTCAATAAATATATTGGAAAATTTTTTGCGGATTTGTAACAGTTTGAAAAGACACTTTCTTTTCTCTAGCTTATTTTATTGTAAGAATGCAGTGTATAATATATATAGTATACAAAATAGGTGTTCATCAACTTTTTATGTTATCAGTAAGGCTCCCAATCAACTGTAGGCTATTAGTTAAGTTTTGGGGGAGTTAAAAGTTAGACAGGTTTTTGACTGTGTAGGAGGTCAGGGCCCCTAACTCATTCAAGGGTTGGGTGTACTTTGTCATTTATTGCTCATCACAGCTTCATGAGCAGATTAACAGTTGAGAAAACAGAAGCTGAGAGAAGATGGGGGACATGCCAAGGTTGCATAGCTAGTGCTAAGTTGGAATCCCAATTTCTCTATTTCGGAGCCCAGCTCTTAACCTTTAAAGTATGAGGAGGGGTAGAAAATTCAACTAGAGAAAGATCAAGTCCTCATAAACCCTTATAAGGAGTTTGGTCTTAATCCTGAGGATAGTGGGAAGCAATTATTGGGTTTTACACTGAGGGGATCAGATCGGATTTGTATTTCGGTAGCTCACACTAGCTTCCATTTGGAGATGGGCTACTCTTTCAACTTCATGTTTGTCTGGATACTTCTTGTCCCAACCCACATTGGGCCTTCCCCTCCTCCTCCTTCCACAATTCTCCGTTTTCCCTCCAGTTGGAAGGACTGGAGCTTTGTGGACAAAGAAGAGAAGGCCCGTCTGCAGCACCAGGTCACCGAGGATGGAGAGTTCTGGTGAGTCCGGGGCCTAGGAGAGCCTGAGGGGGAGCGTGGGGTGGGAGCGGAGGTCTCGGATCTCCTTTCCCAGACAGAGGTCGTCACATTTCAGCTTTTGGAAGCTCTGGGCCCTGTTCTCCTTCTCCAGCCTAAGGTTTAGCAAGGATGAGGTCCTGAGAGAAGCCCACCAGACTATACAGTTATGACTGAGCCTGGAACCAGCCAGCCTACTGTGGCTTCTGCCTCACCTGTGTCCCTCTGCCATACACACACAACTCTGGACACTTGCTCCCTGGCCTTTGCAGAGCTGTTTTCTGAGTCTAGAGGCTCCACTTGGCTCACCCAATGCTACCTACACCCTCACTCAAATTGTTTCTACTTGGCCTCCAAGTCTTAGCTTGAAGGGATGCCTTCAGGAGCCCCCTGCCTTCCCCAGGACTGGGACTAACTTGGGATACTCATCACCCTTAAAATTGCCTGCTTAGTTGTCTTTTCCTTCCCCAAACTCTCTTTCCACTGCACCTAACTCAGGGCTGTGGCCCAGTGGAGGAGTACACATTAACAGTTTAAAAAACGGAATTGCTGCTGAGCTCTCCCACCAAGGACATGAGTTTAAGTCATTATGGAAAAGATGTAGTTTGGAGTGGATACATCAGAACTGACAGGGTTTACCCAAAAAAGGAAAGAGAGGGTCCTCTGTGGGGCCACGATCAAGTTCCTCTGACCTGTTTTATTGTGCCGTGTTAGCCCTGGAGTCTTCACCTTTCCCGGCCTCCCATATGGATCTCTCTTTTTTCCAACCTCTCAGGATGTCATATGACGATTTCATCTACCACTTCACGAAGTTGGAGATTTGTAACCTCACAGCCGATGCCCTGGAGTCGGACAAGCTTCAGACGTGGACAGTGTCTGTGAACGAGGGCCGCTGGGTGAGGGGCTGCTCTGCTGGCGGCTGCCGCAACTTCCCAGGTGGGCTGCGCTCTGGATGGGGGACAGGTCCAAGCAGAACAAGCCCCAGGAAGAAGAATATTAATTTGCTTTCCTGAGTCTGTACTAAGCTCCAGACTTACTTTCTTTTATTAAACCCTCCCCATTTTACTGAGAAGGAAGCCGCCTTGCTGCGGAGTGTGCAGTAGAGAGCTGGTATCCACTTTTAAGCAGGATATTGTGTCAGAAAAATATTGTGTTCATAATGCTGCAGATGGGACTGGAGGGCTGAGTTAGCAGCTGCTGCAAGAGTCCAAGCCAGAGGTGGTGAGAGCCAAACTGTGTCAGGAGCAGCAGAGGTGGGGGAAGAGGCAGATTTCAGGGAAAGAATATTGGGTGATGAGGGGAAGGAAGAATAAAGAATGACTTCAAGATACTGGCTTGGGGGTCTGAGTGGGTGGTGTCAATGTCACAATATAAGATACCTGGGAGAAAAAAATCGGTGTGCTGTTTGTTTTTGGTGGGTTGGTTGTGGGCTTGCAGGGAAGAGAGTCTCGTTGGGACATGAGAAGTTTGAGGCCCTTGCAGAATATCCAGGTGAAGATGTGTACTAGAGAATTTGATGTACAGATAGAATGGTAGTTGACTATATGATCAGAACTCAATATATATCTGTGGAAGGAAGAAAGAGAAGGAAGAAAGAGAAGAAAAGAAGGAAGGAAAGAATGAGGAAGGAAGGAAGGAAGGAAGGAAGGAAGGAAGGAAGGAAGGAAGGAAAGAAGGAAGGAAAGAAGGAAGGAAAAACAAAAGGGAGAGAAGACGGGAAGGAGGGAGGGAGTCAAAGGACAGGTCAGGGCTGGGACCTATAGCTCAGGCGTCATCAGCTGGTGGGGGCAGTTACAAAGTGACGTGGGTAAGACACGTAGAAGTAAAGGCAAATTGGCTCCCTCCACCTCATCTCCCTCCTGCCTCTTCTCCGAGAGGCACATCTGATTGTGTGCTTCATTTCTGGGTGGCACAGACACTTTCTGGACCAACCCCCAGTACCGCCTGAAGCTGCTGGAGGAGGACGACGACCCTGACGACTCCCAGGTGATCTGCAGCTTTCTGGTGGCCCTGATGCAGAAGAACCGACGGAAGGACCGGAAGCTGGGGGCCAACCTCTTCACCATTGGCTTTGCCATCTACGAGGTGTGCAGCTTCAACCCAGGAAACACATGCCTTCTCAGGGAAGAGGCTTCTGGGGACTTGCAGGGGGATCCTCCAGCTTCCCCAGTGCTCAGTGACTTCCGGAGCCCCTGCAGTCAGGCCCACTGGCATCAGAACCTCTGTACCAACTGAAATTGTTTGTAACAATTGTATTATTTGTAACAAGTGGGAAAAACCCACGATGGGGGAGGTGGAGTGGGGCCTGGCCAGCCGGGTAGGTACGTGGGGGGGTCACACTTCTGCATTCACTCTACAATGGCTGGCACTCTGCTCCTGCAAGCTTTCCCTCCCTGCTCAGACACCCCACAGCTCCTGAGCACCTTCTTTTTCTGTTTCTCCTCAAGGTTCCCAAAGAGGTATTGAAGTGACAGCAGCCAGCCATTGTGTGCAGCCTGACTTGGGGGTCCTGTGTCCAACTGTGGCACATCGGGAACCTTCCTGGTGGTCTTTTTGTGGGCCGGGCTATGAGCGGAGAGAGTCTTGCCTGCTTTACTCAACCCCAGAGTGGGTGCTTCAGGGCCCTGCAGGACCGCCTGTTACCCTCACAATGTGCCCTTTCTCCCTTCCCACCAGAGACCATCACACACATACTTTCACACATTCCCACTTGTTCACACCCACCCACACACCTGCTCACACTCCCAATTACACACCCACACACATAGGCACATAGACACATTCTGAGGTGACTGCCCTCTCTAGGATGGAGGGATCCCCTCCCTCAGGCCCCAGCCAAAGCCCCTCTGGCCTCCTTGGGGTCCTTCCCCAGCCTGCGGGTGATTCAGAGTTGCCCAGCCGCAGCTGCGGTAAGTGGCCATGAGGCGGGATGATAGACTTGACCTTCACTTCAGAATCACAGCAGAGGAGGAAGAGGAAGTGGCGTAGGGCACTCCAGGGATGCTAAACTGCTCGAGGCCTTGAGAATCAGGAGTAGGCAGGTCATGACTGTGAACCTGGTGATGAGGGAGGCGGGGAGGGGTCCCTGGAGGGGAACTGTGACCAGCAGAGGGCATGCCTCCTGAGGGGCTCAGGCGCCTTGGGCTCTCCTCTCCCTCAGATGCACGGGAACAAGCAGCACCTGCAGAAGGACTTCTTCCTGTACAATGCCTCCAAGGCCCGGAGCAAGACCTACATCAATATGCGGGAGGTGTCCCAGCGCTTCCGCCTGCCTCCCAGCGAGTACGTCATTGTGCCCTCCACCTACGAACCCCACCAGGAGGGAGAATTCATCCTCCGGGTCTTCTCTGAAAAGAGGAACCTCTCTGAGTGAGTCTTGGCCCCGTTGCCCCACCTGTCCCTAAAAGCCCACATGGCCCATTCCAGAAACTGGAGGCATGAGGCAGCTGGACCAGTCTCCTCCAGGAGCCCTGGGGTATGTCGACCAGGCTGCACCTCTTCCTCTGCACCTGAGCCACTGGCCATGTCTTCCCTAGTCATTCATTCATTCATTCATTCATTCATTCAGTCAGTCAGTCATTCTGCAGATACTTATTGAGCACCATGTTCCAGGTAGTCTTCTTCTAGTCACTGAGGATAGAGCTATGAATTAAACAGAAGAAATCCCTGCCTTCATGGGGCTTAACATTTTAGCATGAGAGAGCAATGTGTAGGAAAAGATAGTATGTTAGAATTAGATAAGTAATAGGGAGAAAAAATTAAGTAGGGGAGAAGGATAGGAGTTGAGGTGATTGAACTTTCAGGTGGGGTGGCCAGGGAAGCCAGCAAGGCCACAGACTGCCTTACTGGCCACCACAGATAAGTTTACAGGCCTGGTCCCTCTGATCTCTGCCCCTGAAAGACATACAGGATCTGTGGGTAGGTGGCTGGGTAATGCCTTTGGGGAGCTTTGGGCAAAGCCAACAAGAACCCGTGTTTCCACAATTTGTGCTGGGCAAGGTGCCTACACAGGGTTGTTTTTCTGAGGTGGAGGATGTTAGTCCCTGGGTCTGTCTGGAGGCCATTCCCAACTTGGCTCTGAGAAGCTGTGTGATCTTCTGAGAGCAGATCATCTCTGTGCTTCCTACTTGTTCCTGGTGACACTAAGATGTGCCCCCCTCCCTGTTTGTGTTCCTCACAGGGAAGCTGAAAATACAATCTCCGTGGATCGGCCAGTGGTGAGTGGTTTAGCTCTCATGTGTGAGAGATGGGTCACCAGCGGGCCACCTTCTCCAATCCAGGCAGGGGACAGGCAGGTGGCTGCGGGGAGAGTGGGTACTGGCAGAGGGAGACAGGAGCCTGGTGGGTGCAGAGCAAATCATTCCATGTTACTGCAACTTCTGTTTGCCATGATGAGAGGTAATGGGCCTATGGTCCTGGGGCCATTTAGTCCAGGGACTGTGAGTACAGAAGAGAGCCCTAGAAGGAAGACCCAGTTGGAAAAATTAGAGGGAGGAGTGGCCATAAGAAGGGATGACAAGGGCAGTGGCTGGCACTGGATTATGAGGCACAACCGCACATAGAAAAAAGCCATACACTAGCTCTGGAGTCAGCATCAAAACCTGGGTCTTCCACCTTCCGGCTTGACCTGGACAAGTATAGCCCCTTGGACTCAATTTCCTACTCTGTAAAATGGGGATAATAATATGTGCTCTATGAGGCTTTTGTGAAGTTTGTCAGTGAGGTCATGCATGTGACTGTCAGGCCCTCGAATGACTGATTATTCATGTGCTTCATATCTTACAAGGTACTTCTCACATGTGTATCTCACTTGATGCTTGCAAGGTTTCTGAGCTGTACTAAGGTTCTTATCCCTGGTTTTTAAGTAAGGAAGTGGAGGCTCAGCAGGGCAAAATGGCCCCCTTGAGTCACAGAGCCTGTAAGTGGCAGGGCAGGAGCTCACAGCCAGATTCTCAGAGCCCAGGCCCAGGTTCTTCCCAACCCCGAGCTGGGACCTGCTCCCAGGGGCATGAGGTCCAAGGTTCGAAGCACAGAGTTGGTGTGTGTGGGAGTCTCCTTGTGTTGAGGAGTCTTGTGACTGCCTTAGGGTTTGGGTCCTTGGTTAACAAACAGTCCCTTGTGCCCTGTGGGTATGATTTGGGCCAATAAGAGGACAAGAAATGCCCCACTCAACTGTCTTCTGGGTAGTGACCTCATGGTTCTAACGCTGACCCTGGGCCAGTGCCAGATCTCCAGCTGCCTTCTGGATTATCACAGACATTGGTTTTAGTATGAAGTGCACTTGGTTCTATTCTTATCTTTTGGACATTGTAATCAGTGTATTTATCAGGAGTTGCAAATTTAAAAGCTTATGGGGGTTGGTATTCCACCTACTGGGTAGAACAGGCAGGGGTGGGGTTTTGGTATCTCTACACTGGCATGTTTGCCTGTAGTTCTCAACTAACACTTGGCTTCAGTGTTGGAGGGACAACTGAAGTGTCGGTGACTGTGGCAAGCTGGAGGGCGCAGAGGGCAGCTGCTCTCAGCAGCCTGGTTTATTGCCATAGGAGGCTGTAGGCCTGCACCGCCTGCCAGAGCTTCTCATTTCACAGAAGCAGTCCCAAACCTGGATTTCCATATTAAGTATCTTCACAGATTAAATATTTGCTTAAAAAACAAACAAAAAACTCTGTAGGGTGGAAAAAAATCATTTCCAGGCAGTCAATTCTGTGTGGGTCAATTGTGGGTGCTATAGTAACCAACTTCATTAAAAAAAAATAGAAAACATTAGCCAGAAGACCCCTTTCCTTGGCCGTGGCTAGTAACAGTGGACTCTGAAAGCAAAGCCATAGCAGCTGCCGGGCTCTGGGCCTGGGGAATTCTCTTCTCCCTTCACCTTCCAGGCCCCTTTTGGCTCCATGTGACCTGAATCTCTGGGCCCCAGAACTTTACCCCAGGCTAAGGACCAGGTCACAGGGAAGCCAAAAGCCACTAGGTTTCCTGGAAACTTGTGTTTTACTTATTCTGCATTTACTGTTTCCTTTGCTTGTGCAGAAAAAGAAAAAAACAAAGGTGGGTATATCAGGGTGAGTGGTGGACAGCACGGAGTGCATGCGCATGTGAGTGCGAGTGCACGGGCACCAGACTCACCTATTCCCCCACTGCCCCCTGCCCCCAGCTCCTGCTGCAGCCACGGGGAGGGACACAGGTAGCCAACACTTGCTGGGTGAAGACAGTGCCAGGCCCTCTTACATGCTTTCCGATCCGTGAGATTAGCGTTATTATTATGCTATTTTCAGAGGAAGAAAAGGTACAGACAGAGTAACCGACTTGCCCAGGGCCACATAGCCAGAAAGTGGCAGAGCCGGCACGTGGTGTCAAGCATCTGCTCCAGGCTCTGTGCTCTGAACCACATGCCATCCTGCCCCCTCCGGTGGAGGGAGAGGAGGGACATGCAGTGAAAGTGGGCCCGACATGGGGCTCCTGCAAAAAACAAGAGGAGAACCCCTTTCTCCTCAGAAGTGGGTTTGGCTATGCCAAACAAGGCTTGATTCTTCGTGGGGAATGCCAGTGGTTCTGCTGCTCGGTGAGATGCCTGTGAGGGTTTTCATGGAGAGTGAGGGTCTCACGATGCCAGCGGCCTGCTCTGTAGACAGAACAGCTCCTTCTCCCTCCTCTTTTTGCTGCCTGCTCCCCATTCCTCCTTTTTAACTCAGCCTTCTGGGGGAGGGGTGGGAGAGGACTGTTGCGAAGCCCCTTCTGGACAGTAACCGCTCACTCCAGTGCAGTCCCTTTAAGTCGAAGGCCCTGCTGGACTCCAGACTGCCTGTGCCCAGACGGCAAAGGGGAAGGGGAAGAGAATGGACACCCTCCGCACCCGGGAGGAGTTACTCAACTTGCCTGGATTAAGGGGGAAGGAGTGAGAGCTTTCTGGGCAGCTTCCCCTCCTGGGGTCTCGGGTAGTTGCCATCCTCCATTCGTTGACCAGCACTTCTTTTCTAATAGCCTCTCCTCAGTGTCCTGGTTATAGGTGCTCTGCTGTAAAGATACCATTGCTAAAGGTGACCATGTGTACTAAGAGCATCTCAGGGGCCTCAGAGGAAAGCTTTCATCTGTGACCAGGGCCGCTGTTGCCTTTGTATGCATTTGGAATTTGAAAATTCAGTTGTTTAAGCAACTCAAACTCCCTCCTATCCTATCATTGTTCCATGTACCCTATAATTTCCCCATAGTCTCCAGGGCAGTAATGCCTACAATAGTGGCTGCCCTTTCCAGAATTTTAGTTTGACCGCTCAGAGTGCCACCCAGAAATGACTGACCTTTGGGCATCCTCAAATGCTGAGACAGCAACCACAGGCCACTAGACAAGATTAGATGTTAGTGTTTGTGGTGGCACCTGGAAGGACCCAGCACGGGGGTCCTCCAAGTATTGGTGCTGGTGCAGATAAATTGACATTCATCAAATACGTTTCACATATTAGGCTGTGCTAGTGGTAAAACACAGTTTTCAGTTACAACATTATCTACAGATAGGTGTTATTATTCCACTTTTACAGGTGAGGATAAAGATTCAGAGAAGTGAAGTGACTTGCCCAAGGACACACAATTAATGAGTAGGGACAATGAACCAGAAATCATATGTATCTGCCCCCAAACTGATGTTTCTTGCCCTCACCTTTCTGGTGCAGGTCCCATACACTCCAAGGCCTGTGTGGTCCAGACCCACACTTGGGCTGGAAAGCAGTGCCTTGCAGGGGTGCCCCAAGGCCACATTATGTCTGTGGGCATGCACTCCCCCTCAGACTGTGGCCTGCACTTGCTCTGGGACCCCAAGCATCAGTTGCTTAAGCAAGATCCTTTGCTTGGAAGGCAGAGCAAGCCAGGGGCTTTGGGGCCATAGGTCTACCCATTCATGTTTCCCTGGATGCACAACGTGGAAAGGCAGATGAACACTCAGAAACCAGTCAGGCTCTTCTGCTCTGAGAGACTCTGACTGCCCCTTTGATCTCTGCACTGCAGCCACCAGCCCCTGCAGCCTAGTCTTCCTCTGGCTTCTTTGCTGGGTGTATAGCACCAACCAGGATTGGCCTGACATGGCAGCCGCTTCCTGCCCTTTCTGTATCCAATTCATTTGCACGAGCATGTCTTGGTAATATCCCTTATGTCTGTGTAGCATCTTGGATGTTTCTGCAGTGTGATTTTACACTTAGCTCTCTCATGTGACTGCACCCCCCACCCCCAAGAGTCCCACGGGGAAGGCAAAGCAGGCTTTATCATCCACGTTACTGGATGAGAGAACTGAGGACCGAGAGGATGTTTCTTACATGTGAGGGGCAGTGCTGGGATTCCAGCCCAGTGTTCCGGCCTCTCCCCCACTGACCATGCCACTAACCTAAGTCCTCTTTTCAATCTGTCCCCCACAGAGGCTTAGGGGTTCCTTGGAGCTGCTCCACTAGCTGCTGTGATGATATGGGGGAGAGCGCTGCCCTGAGGGTGGAGGTCTTCATCAGAGAAGCTCTGTCTTTAATGACTTCATGCACACTGGGCTTCTGGGGAAATTTAATTTGAAGTTTCCCATTTGGGAGAAAGTCTATGAAATATTTGAAAAGTGCTACACAAGCCCACACAGCTTCTCACCTGTACTAACTGCCTTGTTGAATCTTCCCAACTCTATCGCAAGGAGATAAGGAACTGAGGGGCAGAGACTTGGCATCTCTCCCTAAGTCATACAGCTTGTGAGTGGCAGAGATGGAGCTGGAACTGAGGTCCAGAGCTCCTGATTCTGCTCTTTGCCTCTTCCCTGGTCAGAGCTGCCCCAGGACGGAGGCTGTCTCCGAGTGCTTGCTCAGTCTATGATCTTTGCTTCTCTCCTGCCCTTTCCCCACTTCCCTCCTCTCTCCAGCCCATCATCTTCGTTTCAGACAGAGCAAACAGCAACAAGGAACTGGGTGTGGACCAGGAATCAGAGGAGGGCAAAGACAAAACAAGCCCTGATAAGCAAGAGAAATCCCCGCAGGTTTCTGAGCATGTGACACGAATGGGGTGGCCAGCCCACAGCTGGGGTCCTCCTATGCTCCTGGGTGCTCAGGGGTGGAGGGGCCACAGGGGCCGGTTGTCCCTTTAACATCCCGAGGTTTGGATTTGTCCCACTGACCTTTTCTCTCAAGTTCTCCTAAAATCTGGGATGCTGCCTGGGTGAATGTCTCGGGGGTCGGCAGCCACACGAAGCCAGTCCTTGCTTTGGGAAGGACAAGTTGAGCCTCCATGCTGGAGCCTCCTGCAGCCAGGACAGTGAGGGAGTGGGTAGGCAAAACCTGCGACACAAATCCTATTTCCTGGTGTCCTCAAGCTCTTGACAACAGAGGAATAAATAATAGTACAGAAAAGGGAGCTGGTACCAGAAACGGAGTCCTTCAGAGCTTGGGGAGGGTGTTGGACTGGAGTGGAGGGAGGCAGTCATATAATGCTTACTGGAGGTGAGGCTAAGAGACAAAAGTCTGCAGGCAGACCCGGAGCCACCTCCTCTGTCCTGGAGTGGGGGACGAAGGGGGTTCCTCTGAAGACTTGAGGACAGAGGTGGCTGGAAGTATCAGAATGGTCTAGCTCCCTTTGTCCTGCTGGGGCTCATTTGTTTGGGATGGTGAACTCAAGAGTGGAAACGGCTGTAGCTGCTGGGGATGGGGGGAGGAGCCCAAGGTGGCTGTCCCCATGTCTGCATGGCTAACGTCTCCTCTGGCTTGGGTGGCCAGGCTGGCAGGTGTGGAGTGAAGGATCGCGGAGGCTTGGATGATCCTCACTCCAGCTCTCCAGGTTTGACTCAGACAGAACGCCGGTCCTGTCCCACCTCCTGCTGCCGCCGAAGGCCGCTGTGAGCACTCTGGCTCCTTCAGCCCACAGGAACTTTCCTGCTGGGTCTATCCATCTCCCCGATTCCTGGGAACCAGTTTTCCTTTGTGCTTCCACAGCCACAGCCTGCCGACACCAACCGAGAAAGTGAGGAGCTGCGGCAATTCCAGAACATTTTCAGGCAGATAGCAGGAGATGTGAGTTCCTCCAAACCAGACTCTCCCAGATACTCCTTTCCTTGAGTAACTGCTCAGATGACCAGTTCAGTACAGGGCATTTTGGCTTTCGGTGTAAGTGGGATGTATGTGTGTAGCACAGGAATCCACAAGTCATGTTCCTGAGTTTTAGATTGACACATCCACTAGGTGGTTGGAGTGCTTTGCTCTGAGGCACCCACAGCAGTCTGGACAGCTGAGGGTGCGCTATGTGACCCCCTCAGAAAAGCCCCAGCCTCCCCACAACAGGACAACCTGACAGGGCTTTGCAAACACAGACAGCTGAGATTTGTTTTGCAAAGCCTCTGCTCCATTAGCTACTACACTTGAGCTGTGGCTCTCTACTCCCCTCCTCGTCAGGACATGGAGATCTGTGCAGATGAGCTCAAGAATATCCTCAACACAGTTGTGAACAAACGTGAGTTCAAACTGGTGAGGGATGGTGTCGTTATCTGCAAGCAGCTCCTCACTCATGTTCTTACCTCCCAGATAAGGACCTGAAGACACAAGGATTCATGCTGGAGTCTTGCCGCAGCATGATTGCTCTCATGGACGTATCCTTCCTGCTACCGTCATCAGCCCCTGTGCAGCCCACGGGGGCCAAGGCAACAATGAGGGGTGCCCAGTCAAGCAGAGGGGACCAAATTCATGTCTAAGGAGACTTGAGGAGGTCCTGGGTCAGAACATCCTGGCTACGTGTCTGAAAGGAGCTATTGGAGGAGCACCAGTTGGGAAGGACGTTGGGTTGTAAGCAGCCCCCAGCCCCTGCTCTTACCTCAGGGCTGGGCTTCCGCCTGGGGCCCTGCCCAAGCGGAAGTGGTCCTGAGGAGACAAGGCTTTCTGGGTTAGAGTGACACTGACTTTGCCTGGGGAGGAACAGAAGGGGTGTTAAACACCAGGACAGGGCAATAGGTAGACTGTCCTGGGCAGAGCCTTCCTATGGGGCTGCCTCCCCCTCCCAATCAAGGGGATTTTGTTCTGGGTGCCCTGTGGCCCTGACCTTCCCCTAGACAGATGGCTCTGGGAGGCTAAACCTGCAGGAGTTCCATCACCTCTGGGAGAAGATCAAAGCCTGGCAGGTGGGAAGAGAGACTGGAGCGTGGGAGTGAAGGAGGGGCTTGATGGCAGGGGTTCAGGGTGTGAGCTCTGTTTTCAAATTTTCTGTTGCCAGAAAATCTTCAAACACTATGACACAGACCAATCCGGCACCATCAACAGCTATGAGATGAGAAATGCAGTCAATGATGCAGGTACTGGGGATGAAAGGGGGTGGCCAGGATGCGGACTGGAGCTGCTGTCAGCAGGAAGGGGAGGGAGGAGGACTAGGCCCCCAGGGTGTTTCTAGAGGAAGGAAGGGTTTCTCTCTTTCCCTCACCCAGGCCACAGTGGCCAAGAGGCAGGGAAAACAATGCAGGCCTCAGGACACCAACTCACTTCCCTCTCCCGACCCCCCACAGGATTCCACCTCAACAGCCAGCTCTATGACATCATAACCATGCGCTACGCTGACAGACACATGAACATCGACTTTGACAGCTTCATCTGCTGCTTCGTCAGGCTGGAGGGCATGTTCAGTAAGTGGCGGGCTCCCCTTCTGCTCTCTTGTGCCCTTCCTGCCCTCCTCCCACAGTGTCAGCGGTGGCAGTGGGGATCTCAGCCTGGTCTTCTCATCTACTGTCAAAGCTGAACCAAGGCGAAGGCCCCATTTAGGCTCCGAATGGGATGGCAAAGGCATTACTGTTGATACTCTGCCTGCAGATTTTTGTGCTGAAGGATAGTACCCAGCATGTCCTCTTAGGAAAAGTTCGTTTTGGAGCGGGGGTGAGCCTGAAATTGGCCTGTGCATTCTTCCACACAGGAGCTTTTAATGCATTTGACAAGGATGGAGACGGTATCATCAAACTCAACGTTCTTGAGGTAAAGCCTAATAGAAGCAGTACACTCCCCCTGCACCTTAAAATTCAAGGTGGAGTCTGAGGCAGAACAGCCCCACTGTGTGCTCACTTCCAAATGTGTGGTGGAGAGATGGGGTAGGAAAGGAACGTAAAGGGAAGCTCAGTGGGGATGTGGCTCCCAGGGAACGTGTACTGGGGGAAGGCTCCCAGGGGCCTCAGTTCTTAAAACAACTTTATGCTGGAAAACATATACCTTTCTCGGGGAGATCTGGAGGACAGATGCAGTAAACAGCTGCTTCTTAAGGTAATCTTCCCAGTGCCTGACATGCAGGGTGTCCCTTTTCCCCTACCCTGTAAGATCCTTAGGGTTGGGTTCTCTTTTCTTGTCTGCATTCTGATGTTGGGACTTCCTCTTTCAGTGGCTGCAGCTCACCATGTACGCCTGAAACAAGCTGGCCTCATCGAAGACCATGCAGGATCACTCAGGATTTCAATTTCACCCAGTATAGCTAGAGCCACTTACCTCCAAAGACCTAGTAGCTGCCTCCCCAGCAGACCTCCAGGCACCTCACAGGTCTTGTTCCTCCTCTACTTCATGCTCCACTCAGCTTCAGGGCATCTGTCCATCTGTCATGCCCACACTGAACTTTTAATTAAGGAATGAGATAGGGAGAACAACTTTGTCCCTTTGTGACATGGAGGCAAGTGTCTGTGTCAGCTAGTTACAGCCCAGCTAAGAGGTTTGCTCAGAAACTGAGTGGCCTTGGCTCTGAAGCACATGCTCTCCTTTGCTTGCCTCAGGCTGACCACAGAAGCATTTGCCGATGGCAATCAGCACCTCCTTGTGCTAGAGCCCTCTATCTCCTCTTTGACCTCCCACCCATGGAACAGTAACCAAACTAATACTTGCTTCTGATTGTTTCAGCATGGACCTGCTCCAGGGTAGACTAGCTCAGTGGAAGAGGGCTGGGTACTTTGGGTTGTCTGACTCATAAATGTGGCTGCATTATAAAAAGAGTTAATCTAAATAAAGGCATGTGTATGGCTGGCTCAACTGTTTTGCCTTCTCACATCTAGGTATCAGCCATAGGAGGGCTGAGTAGCTTTCAACTCACCTATCACATATAGAAAGCCCTAGTTTCCAGAATACTACAGAAAACACACATACATACACAAATAACTGAAACCCACATTAATCATGCCTATTGCTATTTTTTGAACATAGGAATCACTCAGATACTTTCCAAGATATACAAGAAAAGGAAAGGAAAGGGTATATAAACGTCAAGAATAAGGGTGTATAAGGGTGTATAAAACGTCAAGAATAAATGGGTCACCTATAACTGGGGGGTCAGTTACCTGACATGTGCATAATGGAGCAGAAATGTAGATGTAGTAAAAAAAAAGTAAGTTCGGGTGTACATTACTATAATTTGACATCTATGTGCACCGTAAAATGATCACCCCAAAAGTCTAGTTACCACCCATCACCCCACAAGTCACCCCCTTCACCACTTTCATCCACTTCCCAATCCCTCCCCTCTGGTTAACCCCAATCTATGTATCTGAGTTTGTTTTGTTCCTTTAATTTTTTTTTAAGATTCCATATATGAGTGAAATCCTATTTGTTTTTCTCCTGCTTACTTATTTCACTTAGCATAATACTCTCAAGGTTTATCCATGTTCTTACAAATGGCAAGATTTCATTTTTTATGGCTTGTGTATACATATATATATGTAAATACACATATACATACCACACCTTCTTTATCCACCCATCTATAGACAGACATTTAGATTGTTTCTGTATCTTGGTTATTGTAAAAAATGCTGCAATGAACCTAGGAGTGCACTTATCTTTTTGAGTTAGTGTTTTTGTATTCTTTGGATAAATACCCAGTAGTGGAATTGTTGGTTCATACAGTAGTTCTATGTTTAATTTTTTAAGGAATCTCCATACTGGTTTCCATAGTGGCTGCACCAATTTACATTTCCAGCGTGTATAAGGGTTCCCTTTTTGCAACATCCTCTTCAATACTTACTTCTTGTCTTTTGGTAACAGCCATTCCAACAGGTATGAGGTGGTATCTCATAGTGGTTTTGACTTTTGTTGTTGAGTTGTATGCATTCTTTATATATTTTGGATATCAACCCCTTATTGGACATATCATTTGCAAATATCTTCTCCCAAGCAGTATTAAGCTCCCTGACATCAAGTATACTACAAAGCTACAACAAAAAATACCAACCAAGGAGTAGGTTGCCTTTTCATTGATGTTTTCTTCGCTGTTCAGAAGTGTTTTAGTTTGAAGTAGTCCCACTTGTTTATTTTTGTTTTTGTTTCCCTTGCCTTTGGAGTATGACCACAAAAACATTGCTAAGACCAGCGTCAAGGAGTTTACCACCTATGTTTCCTTCCAGGAATTTTATGATTCCAAGTCTTACATTCAAGTGTTTAATCTGTTTAAGTTTTTTATATGGTGTAAGACAGTGGTCTAATTTTACTTTTTTGCATGTAGTTGACTAGTTTTCCCAACACCACTTATTGAAGAGACTGTCCTTTCTCCATTGTATGTTCTTGGCAACTTTGTTGTAAATTATCCATATGTGTAGGTTTATTTCTGGGCTCTCACTTCTGTTTTACTGATCTGTGTGTGTGTGAAGTACCATAGTGTTTTGATTATTGTAGCTTTGTAGTATATGTGATATCAGGGAGCTTAATACCCCCAGGCTTTATTGTTTTCAGTATTGCTTTGGCTATTTGGGGTCTTTTATGGTTCCATACAAATTTTAAAATTATGTTCTAGTTCTGTGAAAAAATGTCATTGGAATTTCAATAGGGATTACACTGATTCTGTAGATTGCATAGTATGGACATGTTAACAATACTGATTCTTTCAATCCATGAGCATTTTTCCATTTATTTGTGTCTTCTTCAGCATCTTTCATCAGTGGGTCATAGTTTTCAGTGATCAAGTCTTTCACCTCCTTGGTTAAATTTATTCCTAGCTATTCTTTTTGATGCAGTTGTTAATGGGGTTATTTCTTTAATTTCTCTGTTCATTGTTATCAGTATATAGACACACCATAGGTTTCTGTATATTGATTTTGTATCTTGCCACTTACTTCATTTATTAGTTCTAACACTTTTTTGGTGGAGTTTTTAGGATTGTCTGTACATAGTGTCATGTCATCTATAAATAGTGGCAGTTTTACTTCCTCCTTTCCAATTTCAATGCATTTCATTTTCTTGTCTGATTGCCACACTGGAACTTTCAATACTCTGCTCAATATAAGTGGTGAGATGGGCATCCTTGTCTTGTTCCTTATCTTAGAGGAAAGGCTTTTCAGTTTTTCCCCATTGAGTATGTTGTTAGCTGTGGGTTTGCCATATATGGCTTTTATTATGAGGTACATTCCTCTATACCCACTTTGCTGAGTTTTTATCATAAATCAATGTTGAATTTTGTCAAATGTGTTTTCTGCATCCATTAAGATGATAATATGATTTTTACCCTTCATTTTGTTAATGTGGCACTTCACATTGATTTGTAGATGTTGAGCCATCTTTGCATCCCTGGAATGAATCCCACTTGATCATGGTCTATGTTCCTTTCAATGTATTGTTAAATTTGGTTTGCTAATATTTTGTTGAGGATTTGTCCATCTATGTTCATATCAAGGATACTGGCCTATAATTTAATTAATTAATTAATTTGGTGTCCTTGTCTGGTTTTGGTATCAGGGTAATGCTGGCCTCGTAAAGTGTGTTTGGAAGCATTCCTCCCCCCAACCCCCTCTACTTTTTGGCAGAGTTTGAGAAGGATAGGTGTTAAATCTTTAAATGTTTGGAAGAAATCACCAATGAATCTGTCTGGTCCTGGACTCGTTGGGTTTTTGATTATTGATTCAAGCTCCTTACTAGTAACTGGTCTTTTTGGGTTTTCTATTTTATTCCTGATTCAATCTTGGAAGATTGTTATATTTCTAGTAATTTATCCATTGCTTAATATTTACCAAATTTCCTGGCACATAATTGTTCATAGTAGTCCTTTATGATCCTTTTATTTTTGTGGTGTTGGTTTTAACTTCTGTTACATTTCAGATTTGAGTCCTCTTTATTGTTGGCTAGTCTAGCTGAAGGTTTGTCTATCTTTTCGAAGAACCAGCTCTTCATTTCACTGATCTTTTCTATTGTTTTCTTTAGGCTCTATTTCATTTTTTCCTTCTCTGCTCTTTGTTATTTCCTTCCTTCTACTAATTTTGGGCTCTCTTTGTTCTTTTTCTAGTTCTGTTAGGTATGAAGTTAGACTACTTGAGACTTTTCTTGTTTCTTGAGGTAGGCCTGTATTGTTATGAACTTCCCTCTTAGAATCACTTTTGCTGCATCTCATTTTTGCTATGTCATATTTGTTTTCATTTGTCTCTTTTTCCTTTTATATCTTCAATGACCCATGTTGTTCACTCCATGCTTTAGTGTTTTTCTGGTTTTCTTGTTGTAATTGAGTTCTAGTTTCATACCAGTGTGGTCAAAGATGCTTGATGACTTCAATCATCTTGAATTTATTGAGACTTGTTTTGTTGCCCAACATGTGATATACTCTGTAGAATGTTTCATGTTAACTTGAAAAGAATATGTATTCTACTGCTTTTAAATGGAATGCTTTCCATATATCTATCAAGTCCGTTTGTGGTGTAGCTACAACATGAGGTGGGCAGGGTGCGAGATGGGTGAGGCATGGAACACACCCACCAGTGCTAGCAGGACAGAGGGAGGGCTCCAAAGCTGGTGCCCACCAGTCCCATCTCCAGCAAGTTAGAAAGACATCACAAAAATGGCACCCATCAGCACTTCTGTCCCCAGAAAAAGTCCACTGAAGGTTCCTGCCTCTCTGGTAGCAGCTTCAGGATTTGTAATTGGGTCTCCCCTACAACTAGAAGCTCTGGACTTTTCAACCTGTTGCTTTTGGGTCTCCCCTACAACTAGAAGCTCTGGACTTTTCAACCTGTTGCTTTTGTGTTGGATCTTAGGGCAAGTGTTAACCCCTTAAGAATGGGTTCTTCATTCCCTATAGTTCTGTGGTTTCCTTGACTTAATCCCTGTTGATTTTCAAAATCAGGTGTTTTGGGGGCTCAATTTTCTGCTGCCAGACCCCTGACTTAAGGCATAGTTCCTTCATTCTTTAAGGTAAAGTTTCATGTTTTGGTGATCCCTTCCTGATTGCAAATCACACTTGCAGTGGGATCCTGGATGAGACCAAGTCTCTGCTTTTCCTATGTGTTCCATCTTTCATTTTCTGTTGTGGAGTTGCTATTCATCTAGTTCTCAGGTCCTTTTCAGAGAAAAATTATTTTATATGTAGCTGTAAATTTGCCTTACCTGTGGGAGGAGGTAAGTTCAGGGTGTTCCTGTTACCATTCTGAACCTCAGAGATATAGTTTTTAATCCTAGTTCCTCCAGTAACTAACTGACCTTTTGTAGGCTTTGGATAAATCCTTAAAAGTAGCTGTTTACCAAACTTACCTGGACCATGGTCTCTGGCATATCTATAACATCTTGTGTTTTCCGCCCAATTTCCTTCTTGCTCCCTATACCAGCATGGAAGAGAAGTGGTTGGCTATAAATATGCACATAAGGTAGCAAAAGTGAACAATTAGTAAAAGTACTTTATTTTCTTCTTGTATTTGCTTTATATCTTGCTTTACAAAGTCATGAAGTTCACAGCTTTATACCAAAATGTAAGAAGGATAAGCTATTTGCTTATGAACACTTTTGCAGTCAAATGTCATCTGATTTCTTTCTTCTACTCCTTACTTCAATATTTAAAAAATTCAGATACTGAGGGTGCTGGAACAGCTCTAGGGCATTTACTTCTCTAAAGCAGGAGAAAGATCTTACTTGACTCTCTCCTCTCCCAATTCAACTGGGCTACTAATTAGCAAATCTTGGAAACTTTAGTTGCTATCTGACCCAGTGGAGTCACATAGTTGGGGGTTGGAGGTGAGGTTAGAGGTTATTGTCTGGTAAGTACTAGGTCTGGTGTACATCAGGATTTCAAATCCACTTACATAAGGAACTCAGTATAGCCTAAATCACTTCCACCACAGCTTCCATTCCTTTCCTTTACATGGCTTCTCTGAAATTCTGAGGATCACAATGATATGGGGCAGGGATGAAATCACTATTTTATCAGAGTGGCAGGCATGGACTTCAAAACAGTTCTAGGAGCTCTCCTTTAGATAAAAGGAACAAACTTTATAAGTTGGCATATATGAATTCTAGTTATTTGAGCAAACCAGAGGGTACATGCTGTTCAAATCCCACTTCACAATAAACTTTGATCTCCCCTCCAATGAATTCTCTTCCATTAAATATATCATATCATTCCACTGTTAGACACCTATTCCCACCAAATCATCCACATACCTATCCACTAAAGTTGTCTACTGCCTAATCTACCACAAAACAAAACCAAAAAAATCCCTTTGTTAGGCAAATTATCACTTAAACAGCAATAATATTGCCTAAAAATTAGAGGTATGTCAGGAGCTAAGCACTCAACTGCTAACTCCTCTGAGGCTGAAAAAACTTTTCCCCACAAAAGCAGAAGTGTAGTAGCAATGACATCCTCTCAAAATTCAAGTAGCATCAGGGCAACATAATTCTTTGCTCCAAGAGTTTTGTTTGCATTGTGTTTAATTGCTTTAAAACTGAATAGAAGAGTACACCAAAATACATTCTGAACCTCATTAAAAATTTTGAAGTGACTGATATTTTGTCAGGACCAACTGCCGTTATAATACTAGCATATGGACACAAAAGGATCTATAATATAGTTTTCCTGGTTTCTAACCATCAGAAATAGGCACAGGCAATTAAAAATAATATTCTAAAAATGGCCTCCCACTCACTATAATAAACGAGTTGGGTTTTGTCAGGTTGTATAACATTTCCTTCCTTCATTAAGTACTAAATACCACAGTCAATGCAAATCCCTGAGCCACAGCTCTTCTCTGAGGGGAGACAGAGGGCTAGAACCCGTCAAGACATTGTAGAAGACTTAAAAAACAACTAAAGTTCTACTTAACTTTCAAGACTCTTAAGAGTATGAACACACAACCATAAGCAAACAAGATGCTTATGGTACCTTTATTTCTAAACAGAGGGCAAGAACAGCGTGCATTTAGGTTAAAACACTAACCTGGGGTTAAACAAATTTTACAAATTCTCGAAGCAAAGACATTATTGACATTGCTTCAAAGAAATTTTTGTGAAACGAGAAGTATTACAAGTACAGGTGCTCATGCACACACACACACAGCCGTACAAGGAACATTCACACCTGTACACAAAGAGGCAGATAGACTGTGTACAATTTTAACAAAGTGTAATAACCCAAATCAGTTCTTGCTGATTCTATCAGTCTGTTCATACCTTCAAATGTTCCCCATGATTGCCTAACACCTCACATACCCCCTTCCTGCTATAGAAAGGCTCCACCACTCTCATCTTTTCAGACCTGTACTAGGACAGGACACCTATGCAACAGAGCATACAAGACTTTCTTAGCACACTGCCCAGTCAACGTGGAAATGTGGCTTCACTAAAGCCCAGAATAAAATGCCAGGTTTAACAGTAAATCCAAATACACTTTCCTGGGAAAGCCCAACGAACAGTGTGGCTTTTCTGATCACCCTTACAGGAAATGGGGGTGAGAAGTGGGAAAGGTTCTTAATCTCATACAGAAATAGCACAAATACACTTTATGCAATGAGGTCCTCTCTGTTCTCTCTCAAGTAACATGCAAATCTCAACAGTGTGGTCAACAAAGGAGGTTCCCATTCCCAAGGACAGAAGTAAATAGCTTGTAGGGCCATTAATTACCTAGTAGTAGCTCCTAGATTAGCTCTTAACTGCTTTCTGGATCCAGTATGAACCACTGGAGCCTTTATTGGAGAAAAGAATAAATACTTAGCCTTGCATACAATTTCAGGGAGTTTTTCATACTCTCTTGAAACCCATCCATGTACCCTCAGGAAAGTCTCCCTGTCTAGAGCCTGAAGGAGACATGCACACTAACGGGGGTAGAAATAAACTGGTGCTCTGCAATCTTAGAAAACAGGAGGTGCCACATCCTGGAGCTTGATATGTGGCACTAGGCTCTTCTCCCTTCTCTCTCTCTCTGAAGACTCTTTCAGTTTTTAGAATCCAGAAAAAGGGTAGAAGGCAACACTTCAAGAGATTTTCTTAAGAGTCCAGAGAAAATCAATCCAAACACAAAGCAGTCTCACTAGGCTTTGTTAATTTGGTGGCCCTCAGTGGACAAGTAGAGTCTTTACCTTCACCATACTCCACTCTTATTTCCCAGTTAGTAGGGAGGTAAAGGTCAGGTAAGGTTTCAGAAGGTTTCAGTCTCTAAGAAGCCTGTTTGAGGCCCTAAAAACTGTCTTCAGATGCTTTATCCTAAGTCCCCTATCTTGGGTACTGCAGGTGGGTGGGAAGCACCCTGTGAGCTCAGAGGAAGTATTTGATGGCTGCCATTATTAGTCTAAGCACACCTAGAGTGGGAAAGATAGGTGTTGGCAATGCAGTAAACAAAAAGACTGCAAACCCACTGGAGGACTGGAGAGTCAGAAACTGGAAAGTGAGACAAAAGATGTGCCTCCAGTTCAAACAACCTGACAATGCCTGCAGCAGTGAGTGCTGAGGTCTTACAGCAGTTTCAAGGCAGATGTTAGAGCTATGAACTGCCTTAAACTGGGCACTCCACCAAAACTTGCAAAGAGGTCCAACAGGAAGTGCTATCTATGAAGACTTGTCATTATGTGATTTGCTGTCTTGAGTTCCTAAAATATAATCAACAGAGCAGTCATGCTAGCTGTTAAAAACCTACTGTGTGTTCCTTTAGCATTTAAAGCCAGCTCTATCCACCTACAAAGCAAGAGAATATTGAAACATACTACACTTAGTTGTTCAGAAAGAAAACTATTTGCTTCCAATTTAAATACCCAGTTATTACAACTGAAGAAATTAAAACTGAGTCTAAAAATATAGCATTTGAACATGTACTCTAAAGCCTGACTCTAGGCTTACACCATCATAAGAACATAAACTAAAAATCACAAACTGAAATCAGCAAAATGTATGTATGATCAGTGTCCCACTGGGTAACCAATTAAGATCTTCATCTGTAATAAACATCTGGAGATCTGGAAAACACTAGGAGCATAGATTACTACATGCCATGTTGTCCCAGAGGAGGATGGTTCCTTTAAATCTGTTTAAACCTCCAGCAAGAACTTAGATTGTAACCTATTATCCCATAGAGATGCCCAGACTTATGCTAGTAGTAAGCCTGGCTAGTAACCACTTTCTCCTTCCCTGCTTCACTGAGGCAGGTAAAAGTGTGGCCGGTGTGAGGGGCTGATGTGAAATTAGTTCAACTAATGACTTCCCAACATGGGAGGCAAAAAACTTCATGAATCAATTTTGCTGTCTTCCTCAGCGTGTCGTTCAATGTGTCCTGCAGCATCCTAGGAATAAGGGAAAAGGCTCATGATAGAAAAGTTGGTAGCTAGACAAGACAAAGTCAAGACCAAGGACAGCTTCATGGGTACATTCTATGATCCATACATGAAAGGTGGTTAGGATCTAGCACTTTGCTAATTCACATGAAAATGAAACCATGTACTTGAAAGTAAGTTCTTGTTTTAGCACAAGAGCACTATAATAATCCTCTAGGTTCTGTTACTGGATTTCAAACATTTGAAAACATTCTCTTTAGGTTCTTTCTCAAAAACTATCTACTACTTCATCTGAAACCTTACCAAGCTAATCCCCAAATCTATGAATAACAAGACAAGTCCCGAAACTCTCCCTATTTATTGCAATTCTGAACATTCCAATAAAGCAATAAAGGTTTGCTGAGCCCTGCTCTGAGGGGCTGAATGACCCCGGGGGACTGGAGTCCCACTTACGTACCTGTTTGGATCCTTTCCTAGCAGTGAAAAAAGCATCACAGTTCTTCCAGCGACATTTCAGGGTTTGAAAGTTTGGATTTGTATGGTCAGTCAGCAAATGCTGTTTTAAATGATCTACTACGCCAAATATCAGAGAGCAGCCATGCCACTGGTGAGAAACAGAAGGGAAGGGTGAGGTAAAAACACTACAGGAAACATGCAGTTAGAACATGCCTCACTTGTATCCCATCAGTACTATGTAAACATAGTACCCTTATTCTTTATTCTATAATTTTCTTGGCTAGAAATATAACAAAACCAGAAGCAACCAAATTAATTATCAGTATAATGAGGAACCTTGAAAAGATGGGAAAGTCCTTGACACTTTGGTATTTTGAGAAGGCAAAGCACTAAGGTAACCATTACATGATTAGAGAGACAAGGAAGAGGTTAGCAAATACTGGTAAGTAAGTTACCACACAATTCAGTTTAAACCACACTTACTCTTTATCTTGCCATCATAAAATGAGTTTCTTAGTCCATTTATTTCAAAAGGCAAACAGCCTTTGTATAATACTGAAAGGGTTATTTTTAACAAGTCTAAGAACTACTGACTTACAAACTTGAAAATAAAAATGTCTAATAAAGAAAACTGCATTTGTGGAGATATTGGTGGTCAAATCAACACTGCTATGCAAGCCTGACTTTACTCACTTGAATCACAAGTTTGCAATGACCCACTTCTTTTCCTTCTATTTATTTACTTTTTAACTCTATCTTTACTTATAAATGTGGCTCAATTTCACTTGTTAGTAAGAAAATATAAAGATTCTTTGTCTTGGCTTTTCCTCTACAGGCTTGCTTATAAGAAATCTTGTGGTTCTATTTCTCTTATATCCATTTCTAAAAAGAAATGCAAATTTTAGTTTTTCCTCTGTTAGCACTCCATCCCTCCAGCTTTAAAACCAGATAGTATTCCCCTCATTTCTCTAGATAAATTAGGTAGAAATAAACCGGTCTGGATCCTGTTGTACTGGATTTTGCTAGCCTTCACTGAGAAGACTAAAAAGCAAATGTAGTAATGTATGAAAACTGAAAAGTAATTAGTTTCTTTACTTTGGACAAGCCTAAAATCAAATCTTACAAAGCAGAGTGTCAGGTTTTCAAAAATGGGTTTCCTTATCTCACAGTAGAAAGTATAAAATAGATGTTCAAATCTAAAAATGTTTAACTGGTGATATTGAAGATCTGTAGGTTAGCCTAGTGCTGAGCAACCCTAGGTCTGGTGACAAGACCAGTTTCACTCCTTACCCAACAGCGGTAATTCTGCATCAGATTGAGCCTCACAGCCTGAATACTGCCATCATAACAGCCAGTGTAAATCTGGAAAAGGAGGTTTATCATTCAGAACAAAACAATATACCAAACAGATCAACCAGTAAACATCCTGAAAATAAGATTCAAAAGCAACTTGTACTAGTTATGAGAAAACAAGAACTTAAACCAAAACCGGCCCAGAGCACTACAAAAGGACCAGATCTTCTAGTCTAGACACTTTGAAGCCACACTCCTTTGAGAACCACTTGAGACCCTAATTGGGAGCAAAAGTGGCAGGGCTCAGGGGTGCCCACTTATACTTCAACCAGTGTAGCTCAGGCTGTTGGGCACTTTATATGGTAGTGGGCATTGTCAATGGAACAAAGGGTTCTGTTGCTCAGAGTATGGCTCAACCCCATAATTTAAAAATAAAATGAATCAAGGCTTAGCAGGGTTAAGTGAGTTAACTTCTACTTTTAGGTCTGCTATAACTATGCCACACTGGCCAAATTTCCTGACTATTCCAATGTTCTGTTCATATCATAATGTCTCTGGAAAAAACACCAATTCTTTTTTTTGAAAACATCTTAAAAATTTATTTTCTATTTAATGGCATATTAGATTTTTATTGTAACTATTTTAGCAATTAATAGAAAATGAATCTTCAACAATGTTACTGGGTTACTTCTCAGTAATATTATACTGAGAAAGAAAGGCATTTGATTAGGAGGCATATCAGAAATAAACGTCATTCTTGGAAGTAGCAAATAGAAACATGATTATCGGTTTGTAGACTTTTTAGTAAAAACATTCAAAGGCAAATATGTGGCATGGCAAATAATACTTACCATACTTTTATGGATGGTCATACACATTATCATGTCTTTGTGTCCTCCATAAACTTGCAATCGATCATGGGACTTAGGTGGAGGAAAAAAATAAGAGAATTAAGGTTATTTGTATTGAATAAGCATAGCCTGAAACATAAGCCTGAAGGCCTCTGGAAGGTTTAAAACTATACCTAAGGCACCAAGCTGAAGCACCAGGGGCATTTTAACAGAAATATAATCCAATAGCAATCTTTCTAACAAGTCCTCTTCCTCAAGGGAGGAGCTGGTAATTGGAAGTAATAAAAACAATTACCATGTAATATCAAAATCTCAAAGCTGAAACTGCACACAAGGGGAGAGCTAGACAGGTTTTAGAAATGGAAGTTGCTGTTCAGAAACCATTTAAAGTTTTGACACCTGTGAGACTGACCACTTATCTCAGAGCAATGTTTCTAAAAGTGCTGTCCACAGATAGCTGCTTTTTAATCATGCAGAATGCTTGTGAAGAATGGATTCCTGGGTCCCACTACAGCTTTACTTTATAAAGAAAATCAACACCAAACCCCAGCAATCTCCTCAAATCATTCAAACAAAATACTGAATCTAAATTGTACCTGCAATTCATAGACACGAACAAATTTATCCAGACAAGCAGTGACCATCACTTTTCCTAGGATATTCACCACAGTCACTGCATGATTGTGACCTTTATAGATCCGCACAAGCTCTCCAGTCTGCATCAAAAGAGAAATAAAAGTCACAAGATTAACTTTCAAGATTCCTCCTGACTTTTGAGATTTATTATCCTATAATTCTAAGAGTCATGACTCTGAGGCTACTTGTACACATGTGGCTGTACAAATTTTAACAGATGAAGTAATCCCATGAGCATCTGTTATTTA